TCTGTCAGCTGAGTCATTTTTTTCCGAACAGCTGATTGGCCAGTGGGTGGTGCTTTTTATAGGATCAGATTCAACCCTGAACTTACCCTGCTCCGGAGCAGGATAGCCGTTCAGAGTAAGTTACCATGGTGATCTACCCCGATAAAAACTGAACCGGCTTCGTGAGACCGAAAACCCAGAGTTAACCCTGAAGTTACCTCGCTAAGACATTAATCCTGCTTCGTGATACAGGCCCCAGCTCCATCATCAACCCTCTGTGTTCTTCTCCCATACGAGTGTAAAAGAACTCATTTGTTACGTTTAATGCTTTTAAACTTTTAATCTATGTAAAGGAACTTTACATATGTAATAATAGACTTACTTTCTGTCCAGAGCGACGTTCAGCAGTTACGAGCCGTCACGTGTTTTTAGAATCCATCGAGGAGAGAAGTAATCCATCAGGGAAACACTTCAGAAACATTATAAAGTGATAGTTGTACGTTTTATCCACTTATCTCTCAAATACCTAAATAATTATTTACTGTTTTGGAAGCGGCGCTTGTTAGACGGTGGCAGCCATGTTGATTCTGTCATCCAATCACAAATTGTGTTATTAGATGGTGAAACGCGTGTAAACAGCTGAACCAATGACCGTTGCGAAATAGTGGAGGCGATCCTCAGAGAGTAAATAATGACCAAGATAGTCATCTGTAGTTTACCAAACTAATGACTGATGTGTTTATCTAAAACCCGCGATCCGACCCACGTTATTTTTTCCACCCAGATCTGAACCCAGGAAAAAATGTTTTTTTTAAAAAAAACCTGCAAATCAGCAGTTTTTGACCCAGTGCAGGACTCTGCTGAACACCTATGAAAATAAAGCGGTGAACCACATCAGTATTTTTTTCCTACCATAGGTGGACCCCACCAGTGTTAATGCTGTAATAATTAATTACTGTAATTCCTACTAACTAGAAATGTAACTAAATACTTTTTTACATTAAATAACAATATTACAGTTACTGAAGTTTAAATAGACTTAATTACTTACTTGTTAGTTTTGTCTTGATCATAGCAGACAGATTCTGTCAGGGTTATGATCTAATGTCGCCTGATCTTACAGCAGCCCAATGAATGACATTATTTAAGTCATCAGCATCAGACTGTCACTGCACACAATGGCTAACAGTTTGGACCATTTGAGCTTGCTGTCCAGGAAATATGAAGAGTATTTCTCCCTCTTTGGGATCAAGGACAAAAATATTGTGGTCCATTGTGGTCTTTGTGGAGGTGTGAGCGCTTTATCCACATCAAAGAGTACTAATTCTGATCTTATGAAGCAAAACAACACCCTTCTACAAAGTTAATCGCACAAGACTGACCCAGAGGAGCCACTCCATCCAGACAGCTCAGGCCGCACAGTCAAACATATAACGTGATTAATTTTTTCACTGCTTAGTGATAATGGGTCCAATCATAGATATAATTTGACAGTTGTATTGTCCAACTCTGTTCCACATCAACACTTAAATAATAAAGTGTGCATTAATAAGAGAATTGGAGCAGATATTTAAAAGTAGCCCAGAAGTTATTCTCCCTCATAACTACTTCTACAAGTGATTGTAGAAGTATTTCAGCAACTTTTTGGAGACAGTATTGTAACTAATCTCTTGAACAACACTGGTCCCCACATTAACCTGTATTTTACTTGTCTGACGGTACTGTGATCATAAAATAATGACTATCTGCAGCCCATTAGCTTCATTGTGATTGATGGTCAACATCCCTCTGTCCTTAGGACCCTTGCAGCGGATAAGGAAAAACTCCCCCCAAAAAAAAGGGAAAAAAGGGTAGAAACCTCAGGAAGAGCAACTGAGGAGGGATCCCTCTTCCAGGACGGACAGACGTGCAAAAGATGTCATACAGAACAGATCAGCATAATAAATTAACAGTAATCCGTATGACACAATGAGACAGAGACAGAGACAGAGAGAGATGCAGGACAAACGGTAATGACAGTAGCTTACAACAACATTAATGAAACAGAAACAGAAAAATATGTAAAGGAGGGGTCAAAAGTGCACTGTCTGGCAATCTGCATGTACAGCTTTACCATCAGTTCAGACAGATTTCCACATCATCGTTTTCTACCACGTGAGCCCTGGGTGCACTTTAATGAACAAAAGAACAAGAATGACATTATCTTCAGTCTGTTAAATCTGTGCACCGGATTGCAAAAGTCTGATATGATTATGTTAAGTTTTTTTTAGGTGATAAGTTGAAATATTTATAGGTGTAGTTATGACTTCACAATAGGATTACATGAAATATGACATTTTGTAATTGGTTACGGGCAGTGCTCTAAAGTAAGACTGAAGCCTATTATTCATCCAAGGCCATGTTATCTTAGAGATAGTAACATTAGGATATCGATAATGCTGATCATAAACATGTCAGCAGTATCTCAAACAAATAAGGAACAGTGAGAGTTTTCTGTGGTGAGTGATTTAAGGTCCGTTGGTTATAAAGGAAAGTTCAAAAGGACCAAATTATGCTTACTTAGTCATAGACATATTAACAGCTTCTTACAGAGACCCTTTTTTTAATTTATTTATTTTTAATTTAACTAAGGTTTCAAGTGTTTTCCAGACAAAAGCAGGTTTGCAACAACCTTAACCCTGAACCTCAGTTAAACTGTTCAAAACTGGCAAAATTCTGATTAAATGTGGAACTACCTAACCAAACATTTTATGCTGACTTTGGCTACGTGGCAGTTTTTGCTAACGTGGTGCTACGACTACACATAAGTAGGCACCAAACATACTGAGGTTCAATACCCAGCCCTGATTCACTCAAGAGAGACGGAGGAATGAAGTAGAGATACGGAATATGATTCATGTTGATTAAGATTTAACAGAAGTCTTTGGTGCTGTGACACCAGAGGGAGGTATTTTGTGATCGAGGGACATCTGGATGGCAGCAAGACGACAAACCCTCCCATCCCCAATCACAGTATAGACGATTGCTAAAGGCACTGCATCCATGGGGGCACCACAACTACGGAACAAAAAAATCAATGTTTATCTTCTTCAATTTTTTCACTAATGCTATGACTGCAATTATTCTGACATATTGCATAAGGCCACAACAACATAACTACATAGTAAAGCCAACTAAATAATAGACAGGCCTTTTTTTCTGGGTTCCTGCTGCCCCCCCGGCCCCCCTCCCCAGCTTACTTTACCTTTCTCTCTGGGAGAGATGGGACAGTTATCTGACGTCACGTGAAACCAGGAACACACTGTATTGTAATCATGTCAAAACAACAAAATCTATCACTACACTACTGAAAGAGTGGATGTGGAGGGAAAGAACATGAAATCAGCAGGAGAGATCGTCATTGTTACCTCTAAGCAGCTAGTGGCCACAACCAACAGTTCACGGAGATTGCATTGATTTACATTGTGAAGCGTTCAAGCTCTATTTAGTAAAAAATTAGTATTGAAGGAAGGTAAATTATAACATCCCATGAGGTGTTCATTGTAATCTTGTAAAATGAAGCTTTTGGCAAGAAACTTGAATAAATACAGCTGTTTGAAGGAAACATTTGCTGGCTTGGCTAGGGCCTCAGTAGGACTGCCACTCACATTGAGCAACTCTGCATCTTGTTAAATTGTGTCCTTACATACTGTCTCACTCTCTCACACAGGCACTGGAATGATGGTGCAGAACGAGGCCTCCTCCACACTCTGCAGCCCTACTCTCCACCTCCTCATTGGCTTGGTTCTCCTCGTGCAATCATCAGGCCTGTGATCTCTGCCAATTTGTGGACTTTTTGCTTTTAATGGCTTGAAACTAAAGCTGTCCTGTGTCTCGGCCTGTGTTTTGGGTCATTGTGGGTTCCAGTGGATGGGGAAGGTTGTAGCACTGCAGGGATTGGACGGGTGGGGGAGGAAGGAGGGGTTTTAGTTTTCATGTTTTTTTAAACAATAACAACGGAGAGGGTCTTTTTTAACAAAAAGTCTGGCTGGGTTGGAGGGGTTGGGGGAGCAGGGCAGCCCTGTCTGGGTGTGTATTTGTGTACGGGTGTCAGTAAAACCATGCCTTATGGGGACCATCACATCTGTGGCTGACACGTCTCATACGTGTGTCCTTCCAAAGTGTAGCTGGCGAGACACAGACTTCAGGTGTATATTATTCATAGAATCAATGATGTGTATAACTTGTGTACATACAGTACAGTCTGATATGTGATGGGTGTCTGCCTGTTCACTCTGAGAGCAACTCCACAAGTCTCTGTGTTCTGACCGGCAGTGGGTGGTGTCAAAATAGCTCTTCATGCATTTTTCACTGCTTGGTATGTACTGTCAGAATTTTATGGTCACTTTTCTCCACATTTTGAAAAACCTGGAATTTCATAATGCAGCTTTTAAAAACCCTATGATATGATTACCCTATGAAGTCACTAGATTGTCCGGAGAACAATTATTTGTCTTGGAAAACTTTTGAAATTAAATTCAGATGGCTGCACAAACATACTGTAGCCACTAAGTATTGTATACATCTTACCAAATTGACACCATGTTGACACCAAGCACTACTATCAACTAAGTCAACAGCACAGACTGTACATAAAAATAGACGATGCGTCGCTGCTTCTACCGTACAAAAATAAAGCCAAAACATCTTGGATACAGCCACTGCCATCTTGCACCGGTGACATCATTTGAAGCCAGAGTCTGTGCAGTAGTGATCTCTGTGGTATCGAGTTCCCGCCCATACACCCATCCGACCAATCGCAAGCAGTGCCTTTGATCGTAGGCACATCGATTAGCACACACAGCTGTCAATCATGATGTCAAACACTCTTTTTATAGCATCAAATAACTAGTATAACCAACTCTATCAGAAACAAGGAACACTTGAAAACGACAGCAACGTGGTATAAAATAAAATGACAGAAACCATGTTTGAGAAAACAAATTATTGATGTGTAGTTTGAGCTGTGTGTCCTCCTGTCTGTACCATCCTTGTAAACACAATATCTCAAGACTGCCTCCAGGGAATTTCTTCAGATTTGGCACAAACGTTCCCTTGGACTCAATGATGATAATAAGTCATGTGATGATGAGAGGGATTACTTCTGTATTATGTATTATTTTTTTAGGAAAATCCTGCATAATATACCTTGTATAAACAAGCTGTCATCAGTGAAAAAGATCATCAGTTATCAGTGACAAAGGTAAAGGAGATCTCCAACTAGTCTTTATTCAGTACCTAAAAACATATTTAGTTGATATATTATTCATTTCTTGATGCTGTTTGACTGAGGAATTTTTTATGTCATTCTGCTGAATTACTGTAACACAGCTGTCTAGAAAAAGCTCAAGGCAACCCACACTGGACACGCATCAAAACATGTCAACATTACATTTCCATGAAAGGGCTATTTATGCTTAAGTAATTTATATATAGACACAGATGGAGCCATCTGTTCCTACGCTGCATTCATATTGTCCGTATTTGTGAGTGAATTTTTGAAAGCTTACAGATACAGACGACACGGAGCAGTACCATTGGAAACCATGGGGGCAGTGTAGTTTAAATGAGACACGACCATAGGAATTGACAAGGGCAGTTTTAAACAGAACGAATCTGTATTATGGTGAAAAGAATTGTCTGTCCACATGTTGCCATGCATTTAATGGCCTCACAGACCACTGCCATCTACAATGCTGCCTCAGCGACACATTAGTACAACCTCCTTCACTGTTGTCATGTTTGTTGTTGTCAGAAACTTCTGAGTCCACCCTCTAGTGCTATCTAGTGGATGTATCTATGCCAACAGAAAGGACTCATGGAAGTATGTGGGCAGTGATGTTTACAGCGTTTAAAATGAATCTACCTATTTCCATATGTTAAGCCAAAAACACCAAGCGCTCCTCAGGAAACGCCCAGCTGGGAGCGTTTAAGAGCGCTTTGGAGGCACAATGTTTTTCAGCTGAGATGCTTTGGGTGTGACTGATGGCTATGATACTGAGTATCTGTGGGAGTTCTTACTTTGGATGAAGGGAAGGCTGAAGCATGCAGGGAGAGAGGAGGGATCCGCCAGTCTGTGTGGGTTTATGAGAGGACACATAATATACTGTATATACAGTATATTAACAGAGTTTTCCTCCATTGTTGTTGTTGAGCACTTGTACATGTAAGATGTGTTGGTATGTCTTCGCAGTATTTTTCCCTCCTCCACTGTGACTGAACGACAGAAGTAACAGTGATAAGCGCATCAACTCTTGGCACTCAGAGAAAACAAAACGCCCAACAGGCTGTTCTCAGTGCAGAATTCACACCCAGCACCTCGTCACACTGCATTTGTATTGCAGTGTCTGTAGTGCAGCGTAAATCTGCGACGCTCCTATTGCAAAGAATTTAAAAGATATGCTGAAGAAATGCTTCAGTGGACATGGGCATCAGTGTTGCCTTGGTGCACGTTGTTTCAGGTGGACACATACCATCATGTCAGGGTAGAACATTGCTCTGTTTCCCAAAACTGTCCTGAAAAGCAGCATCAGTTTTGCTCCCTGCATTGGTAGTTTCTGTAAACTGCACCTTGTCCCTTACCTCTGTATTTACAACATGTCCATTGTGGGCAGTAGGCAGTAGTTGACTTCAAATGATGTGATGTGATGCAGCTGGTGTTTATTGCAGACTGAAAAGACATCATCAAAGAGAATTCTGTGTCATTTTGACCTCTCCCTACAGAAAAGGCCGCCAAGGGTCATAACAAAATGTATACAGACAAAGTTTCCCAACTTCATAGATTTCTGTTTGTGTTTGAGATCATATGACATGGATTCAAATCCAAAACAGTTGTAAAGTTTCATCTAATAATTCATTTTCTTTGTTAATCATCTCAGTAACCCAAATATCACTGACACAACGTTCAGATTTATCTACAAACATACATCTACCCAACTGAACTTGACTTGCTGGTCTTGTCGCTCTCAGAGTGAACACAGACAAAGAGTCACTCATTGAAGCACTGAAGAACTTTTTATTGTTGATTTTCAGCTCCTGCTCATGTCTGTATGCTTGTTTGTGTTTTTGTCTTGGCTGTAATTATAGCAAGCTGCAGAAATATGTCACTGGTCCAAATGAATGTTTACATTTTCTATTTTGTAGGTCTCATATTTGGGGGGAGGTATAAGTTGGATGGATGGAGGATGTATTTAATTATTTGTTTACATTTGTTGTGCCTGCATTGTTTGAATATTTCCAACAACAATGTAAAAATGCTTCTGTTTAGTGTTTATTGGGTTTATCTCAGCTGTTTTTCTGCTGGTGGGTTGATATAAAAATGCCCGGGGCAGCAAGGATGAGTCACTGCTACAGATGAAAGCGTTGGTCACCAAAGTTATCAGAGAGTACAGTTAACAGTATCATATATCGTTGTCATTGTAATCCTGTCAGCGTCTATCAGCTCTGATGTAACATGCCTAGTTCACTGCAATTCACAGCAAGGATGTGACCTCCAGCGTTCTGTCTGTCACTCAGTCTTGCAGTACTCTTTATCCTGTCCAGGTCAGGTCTGGTCAGCATGTCAAAAATCAACATCAAGTGCTTACAATTTCTCTTTTGTTGCTGCCTTATTTTTTGTTGATTTGCTCAGAAATGTTTGAACTGTTTGTTGTCAGCAATTTAATGCTCAAAACTTCAGAGGGTAACATGCTTTGGATTTAGATAGTCCTCGTAGAGTCACTAACAACTGGAATACAGGGTTTGGGTTTTCTGTACCTGCCAACAAAAAACAGCCCAGTCTACTTTAAAGGAGTTTTTACTTTATGTTGTACAATAACTTGTGTTTCCATTACCTCAGTCTGTCTCGAATGTTAACAAAGTACAGCATGAAAGTTAATTCTTGATCCTGGAAACAGTCATTTTACAAAATCAACTTAAGATCCACCTGCTAGCTTTCATACATTTCTCATAGTTTTTCTTAAACTCCACCCCTGAAGAAAACCATGATGTTGAAAGCTCTAGAAATAGCCAGTTTCAGATCAAATTCTTCATATAATAGTCAAAAGCCAAGGTGTTAGGAGCTGGTGAATCACAGAAAAACAAGGGTAAAAGGATTTACCCTTAAAGGTTCTGTATGTGACATTCAGAGCATTAATAAAGCAGCAAACTATTATTTGCTATGTAAAGATACAAGGGGGTAATTGGGTCCTGAGCAGAGAATGAAGTCCCACTCCCTCTGTGTGTGTTGTAATCTGAGCTTCTCTATGGTTTGTTTGGGTAAGCCGGTCAGGCTGCACATGCATATTAATACATATGTATCCCACTGGCTAGCTCATCACAATTGCTTTACACTGTGCCAAGACCCCAAGAACAGTGCTGGGCTTTGAAGCCAATTTTACAAAGTGGCCAAACATGGAATTACAACTTCCAGGTTCATCATGTGATGCCACTGGACCCAAAAAGACTTTTTCCTATTGACTTACATTAGGAAAGAGACGTCTTTAAATGGATACCAGCGTAGTGGTGTAGTGGTAATTGATAAAGTGGGTGTGCTACTAGGTAGATGTTAGATTACCTAAGAGGAAGTGGGTATATTCTCCAATATAATCCAGTGGTTTTCTGGCTGGTAGGTGTACTATAAACAGCTTTAAAAAAAGAGGCAGGTATACCCACGCACACCCTCCGCTACACCACTTGTGGATACATTTTTTTGAGCATCACAACCCCCACGAAACAACTTATTTTGCTTTTGGGATTTCATCCATTCTGTCTGATAACTCCTCATTCAGATTAGGAGAGGACTAAACCAAAAATGGGCTGCTTGGCTAGCATAAGTCTCTGAAGCGCTTGCACAATGGGCTCAATGATTAAGAATGATGGAAATTTTGTACCCTGAAAATTGAGCTGTTTTGGCTTTATGTGCCACTGATCACCAACTTTTATAGGAATGAACAGGGCCCCGCCTTCAGTGCTGTATCCAGTGCTCTTAATACATCAGTGCAGTGTGTTCATGTGCCAGCTACCGCTGTCTTTGTGAAAGCGTAGTGCCCACCCTCAGGTTTCCCCCTGGTTAATACCAATAGCTCTGTCAGCACTGTTTACTTTGTTTATGAAGTTAGCACCGTTAGCTGCTAGCTGCTGGCTCAGCCACATCCATGTTGAGAACTGTGTTCAGACAACTCATATGCTCTGGATTCTGCATAGAGCCCCTTTAGGGTACAGATACACCAGTTTGTTTTCTGGTCTGCATGGACTTAATAAATGTTTTTCAAATGCCAAATGTGAACAAACTTGTGAGTTAAATTTGAAGGTTATCAGTTTCCCATGACCTTTTGATAGGAGATCCAGATGAACTCACAAGCTTAAGTTAATGGTCTGGACAACCAGAACTTTTATGTGTACCTCAGTATTACATTTTATTCTTATTTATTTTATTAGTCAACCTGATTGATGTGCTTTATTTTTTAAGGAAAATGCAACTTTTAATCACATATTTCATATTTTTTGCTCTTTTCGTATCATTGAATTTACATTAATTTAGTTGTATTAGGCAAACTAGGAAGTATCATTTTCTTTGAGCACTGGAAAGCAGAATATCACAAATGTCAAAACATTTACACCCTATACCTGTCATTATTATTCATGATTACATGATCTTTGGTTAGTAAAAAGTAATGGTTTCAATTTAGGTTAGACCAATATTGATAACGGGCTGACACTTCTCAGCTCTTGTCCAGCATGGTCCACCTCCTACAATGATTTCACAGCTCTGGTCTAAATACAGTTTCTGGCTTTGCTATAAGTTACAATGCTGAATTTTTGGTGTCAGTCTTCAAAAACAAAATTGGTCTTAACCTGGATTTAAATCACCATCACTGTTTATTACTCAGAACTGACGAGCCTCACAGCCGTTTCATCTCTGCTGTAGTCCAAAAGTTGGAAAAGCTCCCAGAACTGTTGAATGATGTCCTGCTTTTGTGTTTTTACTCTGTACAAAGTCTTTTCTCAATGCCTTTAGTATTCATTGAAGAGCCATAAAGTCATTTCACCATGTCTGGGTGCCAAGTCACTGAATGTTCTGGAGGACT